CGCAGGCCCCCACCAACCCTGCAAGGGAGGACGACGACGGGGAGGAGGGTCAGAGGGAGAGAGGGAGGGAGGGAGGGAGGGGGCGCCCCCGCCTCCCCCCCCCGCCCCGCTCACCTTGCAGGAAGGAGTCCACCAGGCCGCCCCCCCAGGCCAGGCTCGGCCAGGCCGGCAGCCAGGCGCCCAGCAGACTCGTCGCCATGATGGCCTCCCCCCCACCCGACGCCGCCGGGTCCAAAGGGCAGCTGGGCTGGCCCCACCGGCTTCCTGCCGAGGCGCAGCGGCTTCCTGGCCGGCCCAGCGCCCCCGAGCACGTGCAGAGGGCCCCTCCCGTTCCCTGCGCGAGGAGGCCGCAGCAGCCCCTCCGCCCACCTCCCGAGCCGGAACCTCCCCGGGGGAGACCCGCAGAGAAGCCCCCAACCCACCCGACAGCGCGAGGGGAGGAGCCGATGCCGCCGCGCCAAGGAGGGCCGGGGAGAGGGCGCGCCTCGCTTCCCTGGCAGAGCGGGGATTCGAATCCAGGTTACTAGAATCCATGTTGTCGAACTGTTGGGATTCTTTTCGAGTAAGTCAACAGAGTAGTAAGAGACCGAGTCCAAGGTGTGTATTAAAATTTAAAAGTTTACTATAAACCTAACATGGGAAAAAGGTACACAGGATATAAAATAACGAAGAGCTAATATGCCTACATCCTTGCCGCTAAAAGTTAAAAACGGGAAGAGCCGAAATGGCGTCTCCTTCTCTAGTCAGAACAAAGAACGGGAAGAGAAGCCATAAAATGCTAAAATACCTGACACCTTGGTTTCCAATCAGAGTAGCAAACTAGCTCCAAAGTTCCCGGGCATCCTATTGTCTCAACAGATTGGTTACAAACAAACATGTGACTTAACAAACATCATTAACCCTGTAAATACTGAAGTGTTTATGACTTGTAACACCCATCACGAACCCCAGTGCCTACCCCATCCTGGTGCCTTTCCTTAAACATTCCTCCTGAGTTGGCACAATCATTCCCAAGTGATTTCTAGTCTCTCTTCCAAACAAGATAGCTCCAGGTGATCTGCCTATTGGTCTGAAGCAGCTACCTTGAGGCCCCCCCACTGAATGCCCTGGAAGGCAGGTGTTTTATTGCAAAGGAGCTTCAGGAACAGATTGGAAAGGGAAATTGCTGAATTACACGTTATTACAGCACTTGGAACAAAAACCTCCCCAGGACTCAACGGGGATACTGGTTTCTTGTCTCATTACCTTAGCTAACTCATTCAGTCCTCACATACCTATTCTACGAAGAGTCTATATGTATTTTAGAGTGTATTTCTTGTGCCCCAGATCTGCGGAAATCCAAAGGCAAAGGGACCCTTGGCTATTAGATATATAGATACTGAATGTAATACGAGAAATACTGGAATGTTTGGCCGGCAGCACACCCACCCCCCAAAAGATAGGAAAAAATGCTGTTAAGTGACCTCCCCGCCCCAGTCTTCTTCCAACATCTTTGTTGCTTTACAGCTGTTGATCTTATGACCTCAGCTTGTTGTTTGGTTTTGTCTTGCATGACTTAAAACATCTTCCTTCATCGTGTCACGTTGCCGTCTAGAAGTCTGAGCCTCACTTTCCTCCCCGCGTACTTGGGAGAGGGTGGGTGCGCAGGAAGGCCTGCGACAAAGCCGTGTTGGTCTGAAAGGCGCCTGACTGAATTCTGAATCTGACCTTCCCACCAAGGAGATCCCGTCTGGCTGGGGGCGACAGAGAACGGAGATCGAGGCCAGCCAGGCACCCTTCAGACCGACACGGCTTCATTCGCGGGCAGGCCTGCTGGTCAGCCGGACTTTGGGCTGGCCGAGGGGGGTGGTGGTGTCGTTTTATTCTCGCCCGGAGGCGGGGTGGCGGACGTCCAGGCCAACGAAGAGACCGGGCGCGGCCGGCGATCTTTCAGGCTTCCTTTGCCTGCCGTGGCTGCGTTCTCCTCCGAAGGCGGCACCGGAGCCTGGGCCCTGGGCCCGTCCGCAGTCAGCTGTCATAAATCTCCCCCCCCCCCCAAGCGCTGGAGTCAACACAGATTGCATTTTGGCAGTGCCCCCGCTAGATGGCAGCAGGGGCACTCCTCTCACTCCCTTGGCGAGGCCGGCACAGGCCTTCCAGCGTGTTTGGGGCGGTTTCTGCTCCGCTGGCCATTTGCCACTCCTTTTCCATGGGCACGCTGAGCAGAGGCGCTCTGGTGTTGGGCACGGGTGTGCCCCTTGAAGAAGAAATGGGATTTATACCCCACCCTTCACTCGGAGTATCAGAGCGGCTCACAATCTCCTTTCCCTTCCCCTCCCCACAAGACACCGTGAGGTAGGTGGGGCCGAGAGAGCTCTTTCGAGAACTGCTCCTGAGAGAACAGCTCTGAGGGAACTTGTGACTGACCCAAGGTCATCCAGCAGCTGCCTGTGGAGGCAGAGTGGGGAATCAAACCCGGTTCTCCCAGATTAGCGCCCACACTCCTAACCATTACACCAAACCGGCTCATGGCTCTGGCCGAGGGCTCCTGTGGGGCTGCTCTGTTAGCTGCCAATCAGCAGACCGACGGAGTGGGGCAAGTTGCCCATTTGCTGGCTGAGAAGAACCCGCCTCAGCCTGTCAAGGACACGTGCAATGGGGGAGTTCACAAGAGCCTGGCGCTGCCCCTCATCTGCCACCCCACCCCAGTTCTCCCTGCCGGGAAAGGTCAGAGCTTCCACGGGACTTGACTTTACCAGCCTCTCAAGGGTGTAAGCCCCCCCCCCCCCCGAACTAGAACGTCAGGATCCGGCCTCCGTGAGCCTTGCTTTCGTCTCCCCCCGTCCCAGGAGATTTGTGGCCTTTTTAGCGGGGGCTCACAACATACGTGCGGAGAAAGACTGCATCCTTGAGCCGCCTGTCCGTACATCACAAGCCACGCTGTGTCCTCCTCGTGTGGAGGAAAGCAGGCTAAAAAAGTGGCCGAAGAACACTCACTCTGTATTTCACCCCGCCCAGCCAGCTCCTACCCCAAATGTGCTTGCAACCGGGGAAGCTTCCTTGCAGAGGGGCGGGGCTCACAAGGCAGGACCTTCTGGCTCAGGGCTTGCACCCTTCACCACCCTCCTCCCGTGTGAGCTTGTAAACAGGCGGCCCGGCCCCCTCCCCCACAGTGGCACAGAAAGCACCACCTAAAAATACAACAACGCAGAAGAATCTTTATTTGGCTACAGGGAGCCCCCC